CACTCTACAGTTATTTGATTGCATTTAGTGAAACTTACTTGTCTATAATCTAATCTATAGTCCTAAAGTCTAGTCCATAGTCTAGTTTATAGTCTAGTCTATGGTCCAGTTTATGGTCTAGTCTATGGTCTAGTCTATGTTCTAGTCTATGGTCTAGTCTATGGTCATGTCTATGGTCTAGTCTATGGTCTAGTCTATAGTATAGTCTATAGTCTAGACTAGACTATAGACTATAGTCTAGTCTATATTCTAGTCTATAGTCTAGTCTATAGTCTAGTCTATTATCTAGTCTATAGTCTAGTCTATAGTCTAGTCTATAGTCTAGTCTATAGTCTAGCTATAGTCTAGTCTATAGTCTAGTCTATAGTCTAGTCTATAGTCTAGTCTATAGTCTAGTCTATAGTCTAGTCTATAGTCTAGTCTATAGTCTAGTCTATAGTCTAGTCTATAGTCTAGTCTATAGTCTAGTCTATAGTCTAGTCTATAGTCTAGTCTATAGTCTGTCTATAGTCTAGTCTATAGTCTAGTCTATAGTCTAGTCTATAGTCTAGTCTATAGTCTAGTCTATAGTCTAGTCTATAGTCTAGTCTATAGTTAGTCTATAGTCTAGTCTATAGTCTAGTCTATAGTCTAGTCTATAGTCTAGTCTATAGTCTAGTCTATAGTCTAGTCTATAGTCTAGTCTATAGTCTGGTCTATAGTTTAGTCTATAGTCTAGTCTACAGTCAAGTCTATAGTCTAGTCTATAGTCGAGTCTATAGTCTAGTCTATAGTCTAGTCTAGTCTATAGTCTAGTCTATAGTCTAGTTTATAGTCTAGTTTATAGTCTAGTCTATAGTCTAGTCTATAGTCTAGTCTATAGTCTAGTCTATAGTCTAGTCTATAGTCTAGTCTATAGTCTAGTCTATAGTCTAGTCTATAGTCTAGCCTATAGTCTAGTCTATAGTCTAGTCTATAGTCAAGTCTTAGTCTAGTCTATAGTCTAGTCTATAATCTAGTCTATAGTCTAGTCTATAGTCTAGTCTATAGTCTAGTCTATAGTCTAGTCTATAGTCTAGTCTATAGTCTAGTCTATAGTCTAGTCTATAGTCTAGTCTATAGTCTAGTCTATAGTCTAGTCTATAGTCTAGTCTATAGTCTAGTCTATAGTCTAGTCTATAGTCTAGTCTATAGTCTAGTCTATAGTCTAGTCTATAGTCTAGTCTATAGTCTAGTCTATAGTCTAGTCTATAGTCTAGTCTATAGTCTAGTCTATAGTCTAGTCTATAGTCTAGTCTATAGTCTAGTCTACAGTCTAGTCTATAGTCTAGTCTATAGTAGTCTATAGTCTAGTCTACAGTCTAGTCTATAGTCTAGTCTATAGTCTAGTCTATAGCCTAGTCTATAGTCTAGTCTAGTCTATAGTCTAGTCTATAGTCTAGTCTAGTCTATAGTCTAGTCTATAGTCTAGTCTAGTCTATAGTCTAGTCTATAGTCTAGTCTATAGCCTAGTCTATAGCCTAGTCTATAGCCTAGTCTATAGCCTAGTCTATAGTCTAGTCTATAGTCTAGTCTATAGTCTAGTCTATAGTCTAGTCTATTCTAGTCTATGGTCTAGTCTATAGTCTAGTCTATAGTCTAGTCTATAGTCTAGTCTATAGTCTAGTCTATAGTCTAGTCTATAGTCTAGTCTATAGTCTAGTCTATAGTCTAGTCTATAGTCTAGTCTATAGTCTAGTCTATAGTCTAGTCTATAGTCTAGTCTATAGTTAGTCTATAGTCTAGTCTATAGTCTAGTCTATAGTCTAGTCTATAGTCTAGTCTATAGTCTAGTCTATAGTCTAGTCTATAGTCTAGTCTATAGTCTAGTCTATAGTCTATCTATAGTCTAGTCTATAGTCTAGTCTATAGTCTTAGTCTATAGTCTAGTCTATAGTCTAGTCTATAGTCTAGTCTATAGTCTAGTCTATAGTCTAGTCTATAGTCTAGTCTATAGTCTAGTCTATAGTCTAGTCTATAGTCTAGTCTATAGTCTAGTCTATAGTCTAGGTCTATAGTCTAGTCTATAGTCTAGTCTATAGTCTAGTCTATAGGCTAGTCTATAGTCTAGTCTATAGTCTAGTCTATAGTCTAGTCTATAGTCTAGCTAAGTCTATATAGTCTAGTCTTTGTAATATTCATGTTCTGCTATAAACAATTACTATGATTAAATTCTTGTAAATTTAACATAAATTTTACATTAATTATAAATTAAAAGCAAAACCCGAACCCAACCTTAAAAAAATTACTTCGAATGAGCTGTTAATGGTCTTAAAAGCCACAATAATTACTTTGAAATATTTTACAGTAAAAAAGCTAAAGTAGTATCTTAAATATACTTATATAAGAAACAAACTTCAAGCTTGATCAAACACATATTAAAACAGATATATTTAATGGCTGTTAAGTTTTATGTAACTAAATTCTACAACAAAATTCAAATCTTAATATCACTTCCTTCCCTGTACAGTATTGTAAATAAATACAAATAAGGTATTTATTATGTACCCAAGAATGTTTCCAGATGACTGAGCCATCCATAATAAATATATATTTACATGTATTAGTCCTACATCATGGATATCATATGGATATGGTTTACATATATCGGCAGCTAAATAATAAATGCATGCGTTAAAATTGCAAGGTTATTATGAGTAACGCCGCCAATTCATTGAAGAATGAAAAATGTTAAAAGAAAAGAAAACAGTGTTGTACGCCTGCTTAATATCCCAGAAATCTTAATTCATTATTATCTTTATTAAATACACACACACGATGCTTTTATGTTTTTACTAAATTCATTATGACTAACTGACATTTTTGCCTGAATTTGGAAAACAAATCCTTGTCTTGTGTTGCTTTTGTATGATTCATCTTTGGGCATATAAATTGTTTGACGTTTTAAAGATGATGTTAGTTTAGTAAACAAATTTATCTTTATGTAACAGATTTAATAAGAATGATTTACTTTAAATCTTAGCAATATTCTTAATACACCCGCAACAAACAGTGGTAAGGTTGGAAAATTAATTTATATTGGAATTGTATATATAATTCCGTAAATAGTCTCGTCTATACTCTAGTCTACAGTCCAGTCTATACTCAAGTCTATAGTCTAGTCTATAGTCTAGTCTACAGCCCAGTCTATAGTCTAATCTACAGTCCAGTCTATAGTCTAGTCTACAGTCTATAGTCTAGTCTATAGTCTAGCCTATAGTCTAGTCTACAGTCCAGTCTATAGACTAGACTATAGTCTAGTCTATAGTCTAGTCTATAGTCTAGTCTATAGTCTAGTCTAGTCTAGTCTATAGTCTAGTCTATAGTCTAGTCTATAGTCTATAGTCTAGTCTATAGTCTAGTCTATAGTCTAGTCTATAGTCTAGTCTATAGTCTAGTCTATAGTCTAGTCTATAGTCTAGTCTATAGTCTAGTCTATAGTCTAGTCTATAGTCTAGTCTTAGTCTAGTCTATAGTCTAGTCTTAGTCTAGTCTATAGTCTAGTCTTTAGTCAAGTCTATAGTCTAGTCTATAGTCTAGTCTATAGTCTAGTCTATAGTCTAGTCTATAGTCTAGTCTATAGTCTAGTCTATAGTCTAGTCTATAGTCTAGTCTATAGTCTAGTCTAGTCCATAGTCTAGTCTATAGTCTAGTCTATAGTCTAGTCTATAGTCTAGTCTAGTCTATAGTCTAGTCTATAGTCTAGTCTTGTCTAGTCTATAGTCTAGTCTATAGTCTAGTCTATAGTCTAGTCTATAGTCTAGTCTATAGTCTAGTCTATAGTCTAGTCTATAGTCTAGTCTATAGTCTAGTCTAGTCTAGTCTATAGTCTAGTCTAGTCTATAGTCTAGTCTATAGTCTAGTCTATAGTCTAGTTCTATAGTCTAGTCTATAGTCTAGTCTATAGTCTAGTCTATAGTCTAGTCTATAGTCTAGTCTATAGTCTAGTCTATAGTCTAGTCTATAGTCTAGTCTATAGTCTAGTCTATAGTCTAATCTATAGTCTAGTCTATAGTCTAGTCTATAGTCTAGTCTATAGTCTAGTCTATAGTCTAGTCTATAGTCTAGTCTATAGTCTAGTCTATAGTCTAGTCTAGTCTAGTCTAAGTCTATAGTCTAGTCTATAGTCTAGTCTATAGTCTAGTCTATAGTCTAGTCTATAGTCTAGTCTATAGTCTAGTCTATAGTCTAGTCTATAGTCTAGTCTATAGTCTAGTCTATAGTCTAGTTCTATAGTCTAGTCATAGTAGTCTATAGTAGTCTATAGTCTAGTCTATAGTCTAGTCTATAGTCTAGTCTATAGTCTAGTCTATAGTCTAGTCTATAGTCTAGTCTAGTCTAGTCTAGTCTATAGTCTAGTCTATAGTCTAGTCTATAGTCTAGTCTATAGTCTAGTCTATAGTCTAGTCTATAGTCTAGTCTATAGTCTAGTCTATAGTCTAGTCTATAGTCTAATCTATAGTCTAGTCTATAGTCTAGTCTATAGTCTAGTCTATAGTCTAGTCTTAGTCTAGTCTATAGTCTAGTCTATAGTCTAGTCTATAGTCTAGTCTATAGTCTAGTCTATAGTCTAGTCTATTAGTCCTAGTCTATAGTTAGTCTATAGTCTAGTCTATAGTCTAGTCTATAGTCTAGTCTATAGTCTAGTCTATAGTCTAGTCTATAGTCTAGTCTATAGTCTAGTCTATAGTCTAGTCTATAGTCTAGTCTATAGTCTAATCTATAGTCTAGTCTATAGTCTAGTCTATAGTCTAGTCTATAGTCTAGTCTATAGTCTAGTCTATAGTCTAGTCTATAGTCTAGTCTTTAGTCTAGTCTATAGTCTAGTCTATAGTTAGTCTATAGTATAGTCTATAGTGTAGTCTATAGTTATTCTATAGTCTAGTGTATAGTTTAAAAAACCTTATTTTTTTAAATTTTCAATATCTTTATCTTGAAATCATTCTCAATACCACTTAAAATAACCATAATATATCACTTACCCGTACTGTGGCCCACCTCACACCAACAATGATCATTTATAAATTGTGGTCCCAAACAATATTTCATAACTTTTTCCGTACAACGGACACCATTACACGAACTATCCGAGGCGGTTCCTGGAAAAGAAATAAACAAAATTATTAAATTTAGAAGGGTTTGTTTATAATATACAATTTCAGATATTTATTCAATATTGATAATTGGAAAAGGTGTAAAAGTAAAAATGGTAAGATTCTATAATAAAATTGAGATTTCCTGATATTTGTTAACCCGTTATACTACTTAAATTAAAAAAAAAAAAAATAATTATTATTTACTCACCTTCATAAAAACTCTCATTTAATTGCCTCAAAGCGTTTATCGCATCTTGTCTCGTCACCTGATGTTCAAATAGAAATTCTTCATAATTTGTTTGTGGATCTTTGGCTTGTAAATCATTTTTATCACAGAGTATACACGATTGTGGAGCAGCCATGGCATAATGTTGAACTAACAGTAAATAACCCATTAAGAATACAGTGACAAACGAAGAACGGCAATTGTAAGATGATAGAGAATGTAGAACATGTGATAATGTAGTCGTTGTTGGTGTTGTTGTGAGGGTTTCTGCATTTGATGTTGTTGTGGAGGTTGCTGTTGTTATGGTTGTTGTTGTTAAAATATATTGGTTTCTTTGGTTTAGTGTTCTACTTTTTATTGTTGTTGTAGGTTGATAACAACATTGCTTTATGTGATAAAAGTCATCAACATTATTGCCATCACTGATTTCCTCTTGGACATTTTTATTTTCTGTAGTATAGTTGGCAAAGTAGTAATAGTGGTGTTGTTGTTGCTGGTGCTGCTTTGTTTGTTTTGATTTATCATTTATGATATTAAGATGTTGTTGTTCGTTTATAAATGTTGCCATATTTTATTTTGTATTTGTTTTGTTTATTTATAGACTTTTTTCAGTTTGTCACACTTTTATTTAATTTCTTATCACTGTTATTTTAATTTTTTATTTATTTGTTGTAAATTTTAACTCATGACTGTTTTTAGTTGCGTTTTTTATTTAATTATTTTAAATTTATAATTAATATGTACATTTACATTAAGTGTTGTTGCTTTTTTGGGATATATGATATGCTGCCGATGTTGTCGTTAAACTAGAGACAAGGAAAAACATTTTAATAATTTATTATATCAAATTTTTACACATTTACATATATAGCTCTTTTTTGTAGTATTTAAATATAAACAGGCATATAGCATGTACGTCTATGTATATTGGGAAATATTGCAAACAAATTTCACAAATTCTTGTTTATAGCTTATAAGTTGACCACTTAATTACATATTAATTTTTCTAAATAAGCTGAGACTGATTAGAACTAAACTAGAAATGAACTAGAACTGAACTAGAACTGAACTAGAATTGAACTAGAACTGAACTAGAACTAATAGAAATGAACTAGAATTGAACTAGAACTGAACTAGAACTGAACTAGAACTGAACTAGAACTGAACTAGAACTGAACTAGAACTGAACTAGAACTGAACTAGAACTGAACTAGAACTGAACTAGAACTGAACTAGAACTGAACTAGAACTGAACTAGAACTGAACTAGAACTGAACTAGAACTGAACTAGAACTGAACTAGAACTGAACTAGAACTGAACTAGAACTGAACTAGAACTGAACTAGAACTGAACTAGAACTGAACTAGAACTGAACTAGAACTGAACTAGAACTGAACTAGAACTGAACCAGAATTGAACTAGAACTGAACTAGAACTGAACTAGAACTGAACAAGAACTGAACTAGAACTGAACTAGAACTGAACTAGAACTGAACTAGAACTGAACTAGAACTGAACTAGAACTGAACCAGAATTGAACTAGAACTGAACTAGAACTGAACTAGAACTGAACAAGAACTGAACTAGAACTGAACTAGAACTGAACTAGAACTGAACTAGAACTGAACTAGAACTGAACTAGAACTGAACTAGAACTGAACTAGAACTGAACTAGAACTGAACCAGAATTGAACCAGAATTGAACTAGAACTGAACTAGAACTGAACTAGAACTGAACTAGAACTGAACTAGAACTGAACTAGAACTGAACTAGAACTGAACAAGAACAGAACTAGAACTGAACTAGAACTGAACTAGAACTGAACTAGAACTGAACTAGAACTGAACTAGAACTGAACTAGAACTGAACTAGAACTGAACTAGAACTGAACTAGAACTGAACTAGAACTGAACTAGAACTGAACTAGAACTGAACTAGAACTGAACTAGAACTGAACTAGAACTGAACTAGAACTGAACTAGAACTGAACTAGAACTGAACTAGAACTGAACTAGAACTGAACTAGAACTGAACTAGAACTGAACTAGAACTGAACTAGAACTGAACTAAACTAGAACTGAACTAAACTGAACTAGAACTGAACTAGAACTGAACTAGAACTGAACTAGAACTGAACTAGAACTGAACTAGAACTGAACTAGAACTGAACCAGAATTGAACTAGAACTGAACTAGAACTGAACTAGAACTGAACAAGAACTGAACTAGAACTGAACTAGAACTGAACTAGAACTGAACTAGAACTGAACTAGAACTGAACTAGAACTGAACCAGAATTGAACCAGAATTGAACTAGAACTGAACTAGAACTGAACTAGAACTGAACTAGAACTGAACTAGAACTGAACAAGAACTGAACTAGAACTGAACTAGAACTGAACTAGAACTGAACTAGAACTGAACTAGAACTGAACTAGAACTGAACTAGAACTGAACTAGAACTGAACTAGAACTGAACTAGAACTGATCTAGAACTGATCTAGAACTGATCTAGAACTGAACTAGAACTGAACTAGAACTGAACTAGAACTGAACTAGAACTGAACTAGAACTGAACTAGAACTACTAGAACTGAACTAGAACTGAACTAGAACTGAACTAGAACTGAACTAGAACTGAACAGGAACTGAACTAGAACTGAACTAAAACTGAGTACGTTTATGAACCAAGTCCGAAATTCACTTTTTACTCATAATTTTTTTGGTTTTGCTGCATATGTATTTTATTTATTTTTTTTATTTTTTTATTATTTTATTTATATGTTGATTTATGCACCACTTTAAAAACATACTTTTTAACAATATAATTCCATTTTGTTTAAATTCATATTTTAATTTATTTAATAAATTATTTTTTTTCTTAAAACCACACATTTTTTCGTTAAAAACTTTGTATAATTTATCCTAAACGTTTTCGTTTACGAGCAAAATTTTTCCATAAAGATTTTCGTTATTTTCAATTTTGAAAATTATAGTCATTTCTCCGAGTCCGCTAAACCGTTATAAACGCGTCTACACGTCTACTTCCGTTCACGAGCTAAAATATTCTGTATTTTGTATTTCATTTTAATGTAAAAAAAAAATCACAATATAATTTGCTGTTGTGTGAGTACGCCATTTTTTACAGTACGACCCCCCTCTTTTTTTATTAACAACAACCAAAAGAGCAAAAAAACAATTCATTTACACTCAGAATTCTTTTAACACTTGCACTCTCTCACCAAAGTGATAGGTGAGTATAAGTAATACCAATTTCGTGATTTTCAAGTAAAGTGAAAAATTTTAAAGCTTTCGCAAGTGTAAAATTAGTCTAGTATATAGTCTAGTCTATAGTCTAGTCTATAGTAGTCTATAGTCTATAGTCTAGTCTATAGTCTAGTCTATAGTCTAGTCTATAGTCTAGTCTATAGTCTAGTCTATAGTCTAGTCTATAGTCTAGTCTATAGTCTAGTCTATAGTCTAGTCTATAGTCTAGTCTATAGTCTAGTCTATAGTCTAGTCTATAGTCTAGTCTATAGTCTAGTCTATAGTCTAGTCTATAGTCTAGTCTATAGTCTAGTCTATAGTCTAGTCTATAGTCTAGTCTATAGTCTAGTCTATAGTCTATTCTATAGTCTAGTCTATAGTCTAGTCTATAGTCTATTCTATAGTCTAGTCTATAGTCTAGTCTATAGTCTAGTCTATAGTCTAGTCTATAGTCTAGTCTATAGTCTAGTCTATAGTCTAGTCTATAGTCTAGTCTAGTCTAGTCTAGTCTATAGTCTAGTCTATAGTCTAGTTTATAGTCTAGTCTATAGTCTAGTCTATAGTCTAGTCTATGTCTAGTCTATAGTCTAGTCTATAGTCTAGTCTATATGTCTAGTCTATAGTCTAGTCATAGTCTAGTCTATCGTCTAGTCTATAGTCTAGTCTATAGTCTAGTCTATAGTCTAGTCTATAGTCTAGTCTATAGTCTAGTCTATAGTCTAGTCTATAGTCTAGTCTATAGTCTAGTCTATAGTCTAGTCTATAGTCTAGTCTATAGTCTAGTCTATAGTCTAGTCTATAGTCTAGTCTATAGTCTAGTCTATAGTCTAGTCTATAGTCTAGTCTATAGTCTAGTCTATAGTCTAGTCTATAGTCTAGTCTATAGTCTAGTCTATAGTCTAGTCTATAGTCTAGTCTATAGTCTAGTCTAGTCTAGTCTAGTCTAGTCTATAGTCTAGTCTATAGTCTAGTCTATAGTCTAGTCTATAGTCTAGTCTATAGTCTAGTCTACTAGTCCTAGTCTATAGTCTAGTCTATAGTCTAGTCTAGTCTAGTCATAGTCTAGTCTATAGTCTAGTCTATAGTCTAGTCTATAGTCTAGTCTATAGTCTAGTCTATAGTCTAGTCTATAGTCTAGTCTATAGTCTAGTCTATAGTCTAGTCTATAGTCTAGTCTATAGTCTAGTTTATGTTTAGTATATAGTCTAGTATATGGTGTAGTCTATAGACTAGTCTATGGTCTAGTCTATAGTCTAGTCTATAGTCTAGTCTATAGTCTAGTCTATAGTCTAGTCTATAGTCTAGTCTATAGTCTAGTCTATAGTCTAGTCTATAGTCTAGTCTATAGTCTAGTCTATAGTCTAGTCTCAAATAGTAATTTCGAAATTTTTTATAATGTGGAAGCTAAACGAATGAAACTAAAAGTACAAGCCTCTTCCTGAATGCGAATTTATTCATGTAATATTGAACGTAAAAAACTGAAACATTATAGTCTAGTCTATAGTCTAGTCTAGAGTCTAGTCTATAGTCTAGTCTATAGTCTAGTCTATAGTCTAGTCTATAGTCTAGTATATAGTCTAGTCTATAGTCTAGTCTATAGTCTAGTCTATAGTCTAGTCTATAGTCTAGTTTATAGTTTAGTCTATAGTCTAGTCTATAGTCTAGTCTATAGTCTAGTCTATAGTCTAGTCTATAGTCTAGTCTATAGTCTAGTCTATAGTCTAGTCTATAGTCTAGTCTATAGTCTAGTCTATAGTCTAGTCTATAGTCTAGTCTATAGTATTCTATAGTCTAGTCTATAGTCTAGTCCATAGTCTATTCTATAGTATAGTCTATAGTCTAGTCTATAGTCTATTCTATAGTCTAGTCTATAGTCTAGTCTATAGTCTAGTCTATAGTCTAGTCTATAGTCTAGTCTATAGTCTAGTCTATAGTCTAGTCTATAGTCTAGTCTATAGTCTAGTCTAGTCTATAGTCTAGTCTATAGTCTAGTCTATAGTCTAGTTTATAGTCTAGTCTATAGTTTAGTCTATAGTCTAGTCTATTGTCTAGTCTATAGTCTAATGTATAGTCTAATCTATAGTCTAGTCTATGGTCTAGTCTATAGTCTAGTCTATAGTCTAGTCTATAGTCTAGTCTATAGTCTAGTCTATAGTCTAGTCTATAGTCTAGTCTATAGTCTAGTCTATAGTCTAGTCTATAGTCTAGTTTATAGTTTAGTATATAGTCTAGTATATGGTGTAGTCTATAGACTAGTCTATGGTCTAGTCTATAGTCTAGTCTATAGTCTAGTCTATAGTCTAGTGTATAGTCTAGTCTATAGTCTAGTCTATAGTCTAGTCTATAGTCTAGTGTATAGTCTAGTCTATAGTCTAGTCTATAGTCTAGTCTATAGTCTAGTCTCAAATAGTAATTTCGAAATTTTTTATAATGTGGAAGCTAAACGAATGAAACTAAAAGTACAAGCCTCTTCCTGAATGCGAATTTATTCATGTAATATTGAACGTAAAAAACTGAAACATTATAGTCTAGTCTATAGTCTAGTCTATAGTCTAGTCTATAGTCTAGTCTATAGTCTAGTCTAGAGTCTAGTCTATAGTCTAGTCTATAGTCTAGTCTATAGTCTAGTCTATAGTCTAGTATATAGTCTAGTCTATAGTCTAGTCTATAGTCTAGTCTACAGTCTAGTCTATAATCTAGTCTATAGTCTAATCTATAGTCTAGTCTATAGTCTAGTCTATAGCCTAGTCTATAGTCTAGTCTAGAGTCTAGTCTAGAGTCTAGTCTAGAGTCTAGTCTATAGTCTAGTCTATAGTCTAGTCTAGTCTAGTCTATAGTCTAATCTATAGTAAAGTCTTTAGTCTACTCTATAGCCTAGTCTAGTCTAGTTTATAGTCTAGCTTATAATCCAGTTTATGGTGTAGTTTATAGTTAAGTTTATAGTTTAGTATACAGTTTAGTCTAAACCATAGTCTAGGCAATAGTTTAGTCTATAGTCTAGTCTATAGTCTAGTCTATAGTCTAGTCTATAGTCTAGTCTATAGTCTAGTCTATAGTCTAGTCTATAGTCTAGTCTATAGTCTAGTCTATTGTCTAGTCTATTGTCTATAATCTAGTTTATAGTCTAGTCTAGTTTATAATATAGCTTATAGTCTAGTTTATAGTCTAGTTGATAGTCTAGTTTATAGTCGAGTTTATTTAGTTTAGTCTATAGTCTGGTCTATAGTATATTTTCTGGATGCTATTTGACGTTTTTAGTACTGAACAGTTGACATCACTGAAAAAGTTTGCATTGAATTGTTACCATTCGTTTTTGGAGCTTTAGTGCTCTCGTGTAAACAGTAGTCGTATTTACGAGTATCACTCGTTAATACGAGTATATGATAGTTTGTTTATACGAAACGAGTTGGAGCCGCCAACATTTCTTTTCAACTAAATTATTTATTGTTCTTTTGGTTGTTGTTGGTGTTTTTGTTGCCTGGCTTTCATCAAACATGCTTCTGCATATTTTGTACATAATTTGCATTTGTTGTTATTACTTTTGTTGAGTTTTTAAGAAAGAGTACATTAATAGAGTAATTATAATGCAAAACAATAAAAGTAAAGAGAAGGTTTTATGGAGCTATTAAAGAGAATGTGCAAGTAAATTAGAAGTGATACAAAAGAAAAGTATTAAATTGTGATTTTGAAATGAAAAATGTATCTTTTTAGGCTTAATTTTTTAAGAATTAAATTTAAAATTGCATTTTTTAAATTGAAATAAATAATAACGTTATTTGCTTTATTTACAACTTATAAAAAGTACCCAAAAGAGTACTTGTTTGGCTGAAACTGTAGGATTTAAGTGTCAAATGTGACAAGTTCATATCTAATATCTAATAGTGTAAGAGTCTACATATTTTTTAAGATAATTTTATTATGTTTTAAATAAATCTCATTTCATTTTGTTTACTCTTCGCTTGCGAAATAATAAATTTTATATTATTTTTTTGGGAACGGAAGTAAATATTGACATTTTTGTCGAAATAAGAATATTTTAGAATTATTGCAATTGTTTGCCAAATAAAATTAAATATATAAAAATTATCTTCGGGCTATGTTTACCTAAAAATGTTAAATATGAACACAAAATATAAAAAAAAAAATAAAGTCTTCTTAAAAAATATTAAAAATGAAAAAAAAAAATTAAATTATATTAAAGCATAAATGTTTCGTTTCAGATTTTTAGAGAGCAGATAAGACAACATATCAGTATAAAAGAACTAGCATACCCTAACCAAAATTAAATACATACAAAATTTTGTTTACTTTTATTATTATTAAAAATTTTTTAATGTTTCAGTTTTTTACGTTCAATATTACATGAATTAATTCGCATTCAGGAAGAAGCTTGTACTTTTAGTTTCATTCGTTAAGCTTCCACATTATAAAAAATTTCGAAATTACTATTTGAGACTAGACTATAGACTAGACTATAGACTAGACTATAGACTAGACTATACACTAGACTATAGACTAGACTATAGACTAGACTATAGACTAGACTATACACTAGACTATAGACTAGACTATAGACTAGACTATAGACTAGACTATAGACTAGACTATAGACTAGACTATAGACTAGACTATAGACTAGACTATAGACTAGACTATAGACTAGACTATAGACTAGACTATACACTAGACTATAGACTAGACTATAGACTAGACTATACACTAGACTATAGACTAGACTATAGACTAGACTATAGACTAGACTAGACTAGACTAGACTAGACTATAGACTAGACTATA